TGGAGCAGGAATTATACCACTCTTAGGTCTGTTCCTGGACACTCTAGCCAAAGACACAGACCTTGCCTCTGGCCAGAAGCAAGGTCATTGCCACGCTGAAAAATGGGACGTTCCAGCAGTTGCAAAGGGAGCCACTTCCACATTGCCACCGTAATAATGCTGTATTTTTCTCCAATGATTGGAATATCTTAATTCTGCTGAATTTGTTACCAGCTATGAGGAAAGTCTCCCAAAAGGCAAAAACTTCAAAGCTGCTGGAGAGCAAGTTCAGGCAATGAAAAGCGTTCTATCAGACCACACCGGATTCATAAATCCTTGTTTGCTGAAGGTTCCAGCAAGAGTTGGAAGGCAACTCCTGTGAGGAGCAGCTGAGGCCCTCAGTTTGTCTGGTTTAGAGAGAAGGAGGCTGAGGGGTGACCTCATTGCTCTACAGCTTCCTGAAGAGGGGTAGTGGAGGGGGAGCTGCTGAGCTCTTTTCTCTGGGATCCAGTAACAGGACTCATGGGAATGGTTCAAAGCTGCACCAGGGCAGGTTCAGACTTGACATGAGGAGCATTTCTTTACCAAGAAGGTGGTCAAACCCTGGAACAGGCTTCCAGGAGAGGTGGCCAATGCCCCAAGCCTGTCAGTGTTTAAGAGGCATTTGCTTTATAGCATGCTTTAGCTTTTGGGCAGCACTGAAGTGGTCAGGCAGTTGGGTGAGACAATCATTGTAGGTCCCTTCCAACTGAAAAAATAATAATCCTCTCCTCTCCTCTCCTCTCCTCTCCTCAAGTGTCTTCAAAGCACATATATAAAATGACTGTCAGCATCTCGGGATTCTGAGTAGTGTCTATGCATGTAATTCTTACTGCAATAAGTGGAAATAAAGTGTTAAGGTACTTTGAAAAGTCTCACTTGTCTCTGTGCAGGTTTATGTACCTAAAGAGGCTAAGACCATGGGAAATGTTGGACTGTTTCCATTTCCATGTCTTTCAGCTTATAATTCACTAGAAGAGAGGCTGTGTTCCTTCTGGACACCCCCTGTACCATAATGATGGAAAGACCAAGGGGGACACTATTCTGCAGAGGATAGTTCATGACGAGGCTCCCTGCTGGTTCCAGCCTTCACGTCGATAAATGAGATGTTTCAGCCTGATCAAAGCACTCCCATTTGACTTGCTCATACACAAAACTCACAAACAGGAAGAACAGGTTATGGGAACTTGGATCAAATTTGCATTTTAATGGATTTTCATCCAGAAACAACTCATAATCTGGGCCTAAATCTTCTAAATCAATTAGGAAATACAGTTTAATTTCCTTTCCTTTTTGTTTGGGTTTTGTCTTGCCAATTCCTTTAATCTTTCCTCTAATTTATTCTTTCCACATGGCTCTAAATTTAGGAAAGCATTTTCACCTTTGTGTCCCTCTCTTCATTTCTTCTTCTTTTTACTCCCCACCACCATTTGTATTCTTCTTCTGGCTCTTGCTTCTTCCTTCCAATTCCCAAAACAAGAACATATGGCTGGTTCAGCATCATGGTTCCCTTCAGGAGAACTGTTTGGCTGTATCATCAGAGTGGGAAATGAATAGAGCAGCAATTGAAGAAGCAGAGTCTCTTAGATCAGACCAGAAGACTAAGGGGAATAGGTGTCCCTTCATGTCCCTATGTAAGTATGTATGCTGTTCCTTGGTAAACTGAAAGAAATCCAGTTTTGCCCTCTTCCAGATGAGGCCTCCTCAAAGTCCCATTGTCTCTGGAGTGAATTTGTGCATTTGAAATGGAATGAAAGGGCTGATATTGGAACAAAACACTGCTGGGTTTGTTCCCCCCACTTCCATTAGTTTTGGAAGTAAAAAACATTACGGAATAATATTCCCCATGAGGGAATGTGGTAAAAAAATATAAATGATTTCCTATGTGGGTTTTGTATTTTTGGAACAAATTTAGAAAGGGAGATGAAGTTATCTCCTAAAATGAGATCCACAGAAGAGTCTTTCAAGCCATAATCATAAAGCTGTGGGAGGTTTGACATAATATACATGGAGATGCATAATAATATTGGTAGAATTGTGTTCCATCTTATCTTGCATCACAAGCAAAGGAAAGGAAGGTGTGTGAGCAGAGACCAAACAGCTGGATCCAAACTTATGGAGACCTGTATTGGGTATACAATCCTGATGTTGGTCATAGCAAGTAATGTAATTTTAGTGAAGTAATGGTTCATAATGAATAAATAGGTGTGACTACAGGACACAGTACGTGCCATTCTTTGAAAGGTGCAAGAAGACTTCAAGGTGCCACTCATGCCAGAGCTTGGGCGTTTCAGGTCCAGGCTATAGATACACCACAACCAATATAATATCATCGGTGCAGCTGGTCCTATCTGTCATAACAGCATCCTTTCTGTATGATGTCTGCATTGTTATGTTCTAATTGTTCTCTGTAACATCCTGCCACCATTTCATAAAAAGCTAAACCGTGGCTAGCCACAAGAACCACTTACAAATCTCCTAGTTTATATCTTGAGAATGTTCATCATGGAACTAGAGGAAATGGCAAGTAATGGCTTTGCAGGAAACGGGAATGTTGATTTTTAAGAGATGTGTGGGCAAAGGCCATGGAAGGTAGGCATAAAGATGCTGCAGCTACAGACAGCACTGGTGGACTATGAGGTGCTACAAAAAGGATACACTAGGAAGTGAGGGCAAGCATGGTGAGGAAGGCAAAGCACAAGGTGGACGACAAGGCCAGGAGTTCTTGAGGAGGTCCAGTGACACCAAGTTGGCTGGGAGTGTTGATCAGCTGAGAGACAGGAATGTTCCGCAGAGGGATCTGGAAGAGGCAAAGTGCAAGGTCCTGCATTTGGGCCACAACCACCCCATGCACCACTCCTGGGGAAGAGTGGCTGGAAAGCTGCTCATGGAAATGGACCTGGGGGTGCTGGCTGACAGAGCTGAACATGAGCAGCTTGTGCCCAGGCAGCCAAGAAGCCACGAGCACCCTGGCCTGTATCAGCATCAGCGTGGCATCAGTGATTGTCCCCCTGTTTTGGGCACTGGTGAGGCTGCACCTTGAATCCTGTGGAGAATGGAGCCAGGAGGTGCCTGGTCACTAATCACAAGGAACAAGGGACAGGACAAGAGGAAATGGCCTCAAGCTGCACCAGGGGGGTTTAGATGGAGTTTATTCCTCCTTGAGAGGGTGGTCAGGTGTTGGATCAGGGTCCTGGAAGTGTTTACACACCATGTAGAAGAGGCCCTCAGTGCCATGGGTTAGTGGTGGCCTTGGCAGTGCTGGAGAACAGTTGGACTTGATCATCTTAAAGGTCTTTTCCAACCTGGCTGATTCTGTGATTCTATGAGATGATGTCAGTTTCATTCAGACCCATCACAAAGGTGGGTCTCACATAGCTTCATGCTGTGCAGCGTGGTTTGCATCACTGCCCCACTGCGAGAGACTGTATTAAGTCCCACTGACACAGCAGGACAGTGCAAACATTGCGACACTCAGTCAAGACATCACTCTGCTCTGTGCTATATACAGAGCTGGCTCGCCAAGCCCTGCGAGGTACAGTATGGCTGACCTGGTGGGTTTGCTCACCACGCCACAAGGCCACTAGTTTGAAAATTAACTACTCGCATTCAAAATGAGGTAAGGGCTGGTCTACCCTCTTCTGTGTTTATAAAGGACTGAGAATTTTGTCTCTTTTTTTTTTCTCTTGCCCAGCCACATGTATCTCAAAATAGTTTTTGTTGAGTTCTCAAAATATTCCTGTAGGAACCTCCCCTGGGAGTTCAGGAAATAAATAGCTTATCCTGGACAGACTATTTATTTCCAAGATGTTTACTCGTGCAATCCATGTGATTGTAAAGTGCCTCCATTTCTCAAGCTCTCTTTCAGTTCCTTAGGGGCACATAATTTAAACGTAGCAACTTTCCCCATATACTGCCAGACTGTTATTCCTAAATATTGAACTGGTAGCTCCAATTCTCTATTCATACTGCAATTATTAATGCAGCAATAGAGGGTGGTTTATGATTAGGTTTGAAATGCTCAGACTCCCTGGAACCACAGGTTCAAATCCCGGCGAGATCAGCCCTTCACCCCTCTGTCTGCGCCAGAGGCTCTCTACAACCTCAGGTCACCCGCATAAAGCCCTGCCATTAGGTCTGTCTGATCAGATCAGCTTAGATTTTGAATAAAGGTCCACAGGTCATGCTTAGTCCAAAGGGGCTACCCCAGTATTTGAGCACATGCTTCCTCAGTGAGTAGTGTGATAGCAGCTATGCACTGCCACCCACCACAGAGCTGGCTTACAATTCAGCTTGCCTGGTGCAGTCCAGCTGCTTTTCCTCTGCTGACAAAAGCTACATTCCTCCACCTGAACCATGCCATTTTGGACCAGTGCAGTTCCCATCTAAGAGCTGGTATTTTGAAACCGATTGCTTCAAAATAAACTGCTTCCGCTTCCACAGTTGTGAGCTGCAAACACCATGGAAGTCAGACTGCAGTAAAATAACCTTCCGTTTATTCTCACTCCTCTTCAACAGAAGAGTTTTTTTCAGGGCAGATTTAGTATTTGTTTTCTCATTTGTTTTTGGGGGCAGGAGAAGCAGTGAGAAAATAAAATCAGGACGGCAACAGATATACTCCATCACCACCCATCCATCCATCAACATACATCTCTCTTCCAACAGATCCTCAGCCTGCCTTTAGCAGCCATGTGAGGCCAATTAACCACTTGATGTATTTCAGTCATTGACAATGGGCAGCAAGCAGCAGAGATTAAACAGCAATAAACATAGCACATAAATAAGTGGACCAGCCCATTTTTTCCTATGATAACTTCATCATGTGTTTCTATTTAGTGATTTATTCAGTTAGCAGCTGAAAATCCTGAAAAGATGCTAAATGTGCGACTTAGAAGTCTCTGCAGAAAAGGATGATGGGAGGCTCACAGGGCTATAAGAGGTGAAGTAGCAGCTTAAGCCAAATCACCTGGGGTGTGGAGGAAGGTGTCAGAGCCTGGTAGATCTGGTAAGCTTGTTTTCTTTTGTAACTTTATGAAGTTACTGCAAGATGCATTCTCCACATAGATTCTGGTATTGTTTAGTAATTGATCTTTCTCTGATGTTTTTTAGACCTCTTCCCTCCTTTATCTAAAATGGCTTTATAAAAACAACAGATTAGAGCAAGTTTACTGCTTGTATAGAAATGCATCTCTAAAGCACAGAGAAATGTGAAAGGAAAAAAAAGCCAGCTTCTTCTGTTATCCTCAGAAGTCTTGGCTGAAAGCATTCTTTAAGAACTAGCTTTAAATAGAAAAATAGCTTTTAATTGACCATCTAAACTTTGATGAGTAAGGGGATGGCATCAGAACGTATAGCTGAGAATGGGCTTGGAGGAGGGTAGTTATAAACTCCTTCTTATTCGCTCTCTGAGTTCAGTTGTGCAGGCTGTCTGCCAGTAAGTTTCTATGATAAAGACTAAAGGAAGTCGATCTGGCTGAACAGGAAAGGAAAAAGCAGCTTGTGTAAGCTGCTTATAATGTGTCACACAAGCTAGCACTGCTAAAGAGTGAGGGGAGAAATGTGTATCCAAGTACAAGTGATAATGGTGGTTCCCCTTCACCCCCAGGAGAAGAAAACCACAAAGCACCTGACTTTTCCTGTACAGAAGAGTCAATGCTCTACCTCTTGCCTCCTGTTCCTTAGAAACAAAAAGTGGCTGTGAGACTCTGCTGAACTCAGACTCTACACAGGTGCAAAGCATTGACATTGATTAGAGGGATAGAGAACTGATGCTTTTTGCTTCAGCAGACATATTCTTTTGTACCTCCTTCATTGTTGTCCTGTTGTCCCATTCCCCATCCCAAGGGCTTTGATCTATGGGGCTTAGAATATGGGTGCTTAAAACACACTGCCTTTTTGATGAGCTACATGTGGTCAACCTGCATGAAATACCTGAACTGCTGCATGAAAACAGAATTCAACAGTTACTAGAAGTACTTAACTCCTTGTCTAATTAAGATATTTATCTTAAGTGTACCTTAAACTAAATACATTTCTCTTGGGCTTCTCCATGTCTATGAAGTCAAGTTCCTTGTTGCTGGGTGTTGGTAAATGGGTAGTGGGAAATGCTATGAACAAACCCAACCTTGCCACTGTTGTAAATTCACTTGAAAACAGACCTGCCTAGAACACAGTTGCTTTAGGACTGAAGTTTAGGATCAGCATGACTAAGCCAAATGACAAGTAAGAAGGAATGAGAGGCTTGTGAGCTCCCTCTTAACAAACTAAGAGAAACAAAATGGCAATTGAGTTGAGGTGCTTGCTTGCATCCAGAACTTCTCCGCATGTCTCTCTAGAGCATCTAACATATTGCTATGCTATGGTAACCCCTCTGGCATCTAACAGTTTTCAGCTGAATGCCCTGTGTTAACAGCTGCAACCCCAAAGTATATTTTTTTTGTATACCCAGAAGGAGAAAACACTGTCTTAATGGCAGCCTTCTAATATCTGAAGGGGGCCTACAGGGATGCTGCAGAGGGACTCTTCATCAGGGACTGTAGCAATAGGACAAGGGGTGATGGGTTCAAACCTAAATATGGGAAGTTCAGGTTAGGTATAAGGAAGTTCTTCCCTGTGAGGGTGCTGAGGCGCTGGCACAGGTTGCCCAGGGAAGTGGTAAATGCCCCATCCCTGTTCAAAGCCAGACTGGACCGAACCTTGAGCAACCTGGTCTAGTTTGAGGTGTCCCTGGCCATGGCAGGGGTTTGGAACTGGATGATCTTCAGGTCCTTTCCAACCCAAACCAGTCTGGGATTCTATGTTGCAGTTAAGGTGGTATCTTAAAAAAATCTAGCATATGTGGAGCTCCACATGCAGAGGGCTGGGACAGAAGTGAATGCTGTCAATGTGTCAAGCTGTCTTCCAGTGTTCTGTTTTCAGTATGGCTCCTCCAAGCTCTTGAGCAACGCTGATCTATACAGAGGATAAATCCCATGTAAAGATAATAGGAAAATAGGAACACCTTGGATTTGGTTTTGTGGCAGCTGAAGGCCTCACATGACATCTCTTGCTGTGTGAGCAATGAATTTTCTGATTTTTTTTTTTTTCTTAAGGCAATTAACCTGATTTCAAGATGTCAGAGGAAGAAGAGTCTATTCTGAACACTAAAAGATCTCTGAGAAAGAGATGGGTGAAACACAGCACTCCAGTGGATTCAATGCCTTCAGGATCAATGTCATCTCTTACGGAACTGACAAATCAGTCAATTGATAACCAAAATTCCAGCAAGAGGATTTATGAATCTCCAGTGCCAAAATCAAATCTAAGTAGATCATTAGCTCAAGTATCAATGGCATGTGTTGAGGCGTATATCCCTCATACATCCCCAAAAAGGCTTTCAACAGCGTTTGACTCACAAGAATCAAAGGAAGAGATAAGCCAAAGCTCCCGGGTCGTGTTTTCTAGGAAGAGGCTTTCCACAGTGTTGGCCTCTGGTGAATCGGATGAAGAGCCAAATGACAAGGTCGTGCCAAGCTCGGAAACTCAGGCTTCCACCAAAGCATCCGAGGAGGCTGCAGTAATTCCTGAGAGTGAACCTGCATGGCTTCTTACTGGAATACCAGGGATAAAAGATCTCCCAATAGGAAAAAAAAGAAAGAAGAAAGTTGACAAAGCCCTTGTGGTAATGGCTTTCCCTTTGTTATGGAATAGCTAAGCTCTACAGTTTTTTACTGATGCTGCCTGTATACAAATCCTTCTGGTAATGTGGGCATATTCTAGTTACAGAACATCTCCACAACTTGCCAGTGAGAACATACATTTGTGAATGGAGTCATAACCTGCTAGACTGTGTGGTATCATTCCTAAATCACAGGCTAGATGGGATGCAGTCTTCCAGACTTGTACTTGCTTCAGCTGGTGAGACTGCATGACTAGTTGTGTACACTGGTACAAAAGTACATTTTTAATACATTTTAATACATTGATACATTTTAATACATTAATCTTCTTTCTGTAAAAGAACCTTAAGGGAAGAGTTGGCGATTTGAATTCTCAAGTTTCTTAATATTGGCAAGTTAACTGAAACTGGAGAAACAAATGATCTACTTCTTTCCTTGCTTAATCCAAATCATAGTGCTTTATTAAAAAGAATGCCAGTTCTTGCAAATGGGGTCTTGTTTGCAGTCCTTTGATTAGTGAAGTGTTTCCTGGTGAAAGCCTAGATTAATAGACCTTCTGCAGGGCTTTATTTTTCTGTTTCATAGAGCACAAGAACTCAATTTCCTGGAACTTTCATTGTTGGCAAGGGCCCTGTGGAGAGCCCATAGAAAGGACAGGGAGGCAGCAGGGTTAGATACTGAAGGCTGTCGCATCAGTGAAGCCATGAGAGTCTATTCTGGCTTGGTTTTTCCCCTGTACTGTATTGTTCATGGGTGTGTTGGAAACTCAGGAAAACTTGCCTGCTCTGACAGTAAAGGCTTCTTAGCTTAAGACAAAAGGAAAACTTCAGCAGAAATCCAGCTGGGTTCCTAATGCCTTTGTATATGTTTTGTGCGTGTTTGTGTTTCAAAGCCAGTGACATCTGAATGAATTAGGTTGACTAAATATTTTCTTTTCTGTAACAGAGAAAGAAAGAAAGAGAATGGCTGCTCCGTCAACTTAAAAATATCGAGGAGGCAACTGACCATGAACTGACAATTGAAGAAGCTTGATTGAACTGGCATTGGTGCTATCACATCCAGCTGCTGGGAACAGCTGGTTCCAATAAATCACGCACCTGACTAAAGTACCTGTTAGACTTCTTTCTTTCTTTTCAAAATGTGGTTGGTTGGGTGGGTTTTGCTGGTTGTTTTCTTTCTGCCCCTTGACTCTAGGAGGAGTCAGGTACAAATTAAGCACCTCCACAGGAGAACCAATGTTAACTTATAATGGCTAAAGGCCTGGAACAAAGAAGGGAGGGAGATCTTTGTGTAAGAATCATTCTTCATCCTGCCACACGCTGGCCTGTGTTGTGTTCCATTTTTTTAGGGTTGCTGATGTTCCTTAAGTGACAAAGTCCTAGTGGCCCCATAGAGTGTAAACCTGGTTAGCCAAAGGAGAATCTCCTAAAGAGTAATCAAAGCTGATGCAATGGGGACTGTTTTTGCTGCTAGCTGAGGAGATGAGGAAATAGTGAGAGGCACTAAGGAGGGAGGCCACCCTCGAGAGATTACTAATTAATGACAGTTTGTTTTGAAGTTTTGGCTCAATATGAGCTTGCCCCAGCCCAGGACTGTAAATGCACCTCACTGTTGCGTTGGAGATCTTTAATGTTCAGCTCTGTGCTTTGAGGGGGTGTGTGTTGATCTCGAGCTGCTGCGTGGAGGGGATGAAAGGTGTCTTGACAATTGTATTGGCAAAATGGCAGCTTGGCTCACAGCAGCTCTTTCTGAAGCACTGGTATGAGCAAGTGATGCAAAAAGCATGATGGTCAGTTCCTCCTGCTGACTGACACTTAGTTTTTAGGCAGCTTAACAGTTGTAAGTGATCTATGGGGTGTCAGCTAAAGGGATCCAGAACAGTTTTACCATGTGCACACACTTCTCCCTGCGCTTGTGTGGCTCTAGCACATGTATTTTCCAGGCTATAGTGGGTTTGCAGCTTGTCCCAGGTACTGTCTAATTATCCCAAAGGAGAGAAGTCCTTGAAAATTAAATATGGAGGTAAGGGAAGCTTTTGCATTTCCTTCCTACACACTGAAACTTGTAATATCTCATGTCCAAGGTGGCAGAGAAGCAGAAGCGTGGTCCAAGCCAACACTGAGACAGGCTAACCAATAGCAGCTGTGTTATGCTCAAAGATGTAGGAGTGCAGTTCTGGTTTTATAGCCTGTCTCAGGATTTAAAAGGAATTAGGATGTTTTCGCTAATGATTCCTGAAGTGAAATTCTTTGGTGTTGCTCAGAACAGCCTTATCCTCAGAACCCAGCCTTCTGTGGTAGCTGGGCAGTGGGGCCATGTTGCCCCTCAGGTCACCGACCAAGGCATGCTTGCTTCATTTGCTGTTTAGTTAATGTTCTGGTATTTGTTTGTGTGTGTGTGTTACCCAGGCTGCTTGTCTGGCCTCCGCAGGTTCCTCTGGCAACCAGGGAGCTCCTGGCTGATGTAGATCCCAAGCTGTCTTTGAGATAAAATAGGCATAGTTGCAGATGTGCTGCTATTCCCCTTGAGCTTGCAGGCATTTCATCAGCATCTATGATTTGTGCCAGGGGCTGAACTAAGATCAGGCAAGTGCAAGGTTAGCGTAAAACCCTTCTCTACCCCTGGGAGAAGCACAGATTAGTCTGCCCACAAGACCCAATGCTTAATCTGAATGACCCAGTTCCTCTCTTATTTATTTGTATCTTCCCAGTTAGCCAGTTCCACTTGTCCCTTCTTCAGACTTCTCCATACTGGTCTCAGAAAGTCTTGATACTGCTTCTGCTTTTCTCTTTCCCAGCCATCTCTTGAAGACACTCCTGGCTCCTGCCTAAGCCCATCCAGTTCTTTGGTCTTCAAATGTCTCTAAAGTCCTCTCTATTCTGGTATCTAGTAGCTTCCTTCCTTATAAGACACAAAAGTCTTCTGTCTTCCATGTCTGCTCTTCACTGCTGGATTCCTTGCCCATCTGATCAGATACCCTCCAATACCCGATGCCAGTCTTCTGCCAAAACTCGCACTCAGCTCATACCCTTAAGTGCCTTTGTCTACTTAGGTTGAACCCCTCCATGATTCTGGGCCAAGTGGAAAGGTCATTAAAGGCCAATTGGACCAAGTTCCAGGCCTCTGCAGGCCAGGGGTGTAGCTGCTGGGAAAGGTGCCGCTTGAGGCTACACCAAATGCAAGCAGAATCTGGGAATACGGCAGCTAAACATCTAAGGAGTCTTTGGGTTTGTGCCAAGTGCAACACAAAACTCTCTAAGATTCAGAACGCAGTAATGCTGGGAAAGTTTTACAGGGATCTAGGCTGCTGCCCTGCCAAATTCATGGAACTGGTTGGTACCAGTAAAATCCCAACGACTTTTCTTTGCGGAGGAGAACAAATTGCCCAGAGTGGTAACACAGAATTGACTTTGACTTTGTCTTTACAAGTCCTGAAGCTGCATTAGACAGATGTAAGAAACCTAAGGCTTTAAGGATTGTGGAGACCACTTCTATTTCCTCTTTCTGGAACGTTAAAAAGAAATACAAAAGACTCTATAGCATTTCTCTAGCAGTGATTTAGGTCCTCGGGAATTTGCAAGAGTCACAATATTGCTTTCATAGGCTTTCTTGAGAAAATATGAATAGAATTAATGGGTACTTCAGGAGTTCTCTGAAATATCTGGTACTCTACATCAACAGTATTTTTGTTAATTGCAGTTAGTTGTGGGTTAGAATCCCAAGGGGCTTCAATCGGACCTATGTAGTACCAAACTACAGGCTACCCTTCGTGAATGATGCTACCCTTCGTGAATGATGCTCCCCAAGACAGGTTTCTCTCAAGTTTTTAAAAGCCAGGATGTTAGCGAATGTGAAACTACATGTGTCAAACTACACATACAAAACTAACACTCCTATTACTGAACTTCGTGTGTAAGTATATCCATAGGGACAAAGTGGAAAACACCGAAACAAAAGCCTTAATATTTCCTTTATTGACAGGGTTTGCACTTGCATTTGCTTCTCCAGTAGACTCCCAAGTCTACTAGACTTTAATGAGACAGTTTTGTTATAGATACACATATACTTTGAAAAGAATAGGCTTTGAGAGAGGCATTGGTAGTACGCAGTGTCAGTGTTGTTAATGGTCATCCTCTAGTGGCAACAATGGCAAATAAATGTTTGGTGCAACTCTCTTCATGTGCAAAGTTCCTTTATGCATATTTATATTGCAATATCACCATGGTGTAAAAAAAAAAAAACAACCCCAAACTAACAAAGAGAGCTGTAGAGTCCAACACCTCCAAAACCCAGCCTTCTCTAATTAGTAGTGACCTTAAATATGGATTACAGGGGCTGAGGCTAGAAAAGATTAGGGACTACAGATGCCAGATATTGAGAGGGTAACCCCCCAAGGTATCGTGTTTTGTAAAATAAAAAGCCCTTTTTCCCCTTGGAAGAATGTGGATCAGAGTTGCAACAGGTTCTTGAGCCCTTGCTCCTGTCCTGGCTTTGAAATGCAACCCTGAGCATGTTTACAAGTACTGAGAGTGCTCCTTTACGGCAGTGTTTTTCCTTTAGGAGCTAAGCTATGACCTTGACCCAGGGAACTGTTTTCAGTACACTTGTCTCTGAACGGATATTACACAATCTACCTGCTGATGGTGACTAAGCATGATGTTGGATGGAGAAGAACAAAAACACTACCAAGAACACAGGGAAGAGACAGTGATGTCTTCACCCTGGATTTACGAGCTCGGCCTTGTTCCCACTGAAGCAATGGCAACACTCCTGTTGACAGAGCTGGGAGTGCTCTGCCCAGCTGCAGTGTTTCTGTAGGATGCCAGATTGAAGAGAAAAATGTTTAGCACACATATTTAACATATTTCAGATTTAAATAACAGAACTGGTAATGAAGTTACTTCTTTGCTGACCACAGCTGAACAGTTTTAGGACAGACTAGAAGTGAGAAACTCTTAAATAAAACCAGATTTATTATTTTTGTTCAAAATCACAAGATAGTTACATTCCTGCTACAGACAAACCCCCGAGTAATAAATCACACAGCATGTCACTGACCTGTACTCCAGTGTGTTTTGTTCTATCAGACAGACAAGTGCAGAAGTCCCCCTCAGCTCCATCTGCTATTGTAGTTCACAATGCCTATTAAGATAGCTTATTCGTCAGCACTGCTGACTTATTAGCAATAAATGAGCAGATATACTGAAGGTTTGACTGAGCCTGTTAGCACCTAGAAAAGTTGGATAAATTAAAGCTATTGAGTAATGTTTTAGAAACTAGATCTAGGCATTGATCTTAGAACGCCACCTGAGATGTAGCCTCCCACCCAAAAACCCCAACAAATAATTCACATCTGCTCAGTCCTTGCACTGCTAGGCAGGTACCTAAAGACCCTGTAAAATGAATCTTGGCTTGATAGTGCAGTCAGACCCAAGGGGCATGCAAACCCTATATATACTGGCAGTAGCTCCTGGTTGCCAGCCTCCTGCATCTGCCCATACATATGGTCTCACAGTACTCTACACCAGTCCCACTCCTTCACCCTGAAATGGGATTGTGTGCAGAGATGCTCAGCAGACACCATCAGGCTGGAGGTGTTTCAGTAGCCTTTGGGTGTTCTGCCTTTAGTTTCAGTAGCCTATAGGATAAAAGTCTTGGAAGTGAGAGACTGCGTTACAAATCCCCTTCTCATCTGGGACAGGGCCTTGAAGCCAAGCATCCTAGCTCACAAGGCAGTAATCACCATCTCCAGACTTACTGTGGAGTCAGGGCTTTTGAGTCTTACTTTACGTAACTATTCATTGAAAAAGAAGATTGAACTTGCATCATAGGTCAGTGACTCACTGTCTTGCTTCTGTGGTATTTAATTTTTGGGGTTTGTGAGGTTTTTTTCTGCTTTAATTCATTTTTACTGAAAAAATGGAAAGAAGGAGGAAAACATCCTTTATTACACCTAGGCAACAAAAAAGAATAGCAAGCATATATTTTCTACTTCTTAGTGTTGCTGCCATTTTGATCCTTTTGTTATCCTCCATTTCATCTTTTTGGCCGTTCCTAGCTCTGCTTTCAGCTCTTCATGTCATTGAAGGTTTGCTCCCTGTAGTGACCATCTTCTACTGGCATATACCGTAAGCTTCCTGAATCTTACATCTCATCCTAAAGAGGAGCTGCCAGCAATGGGAAGGGGGGAAAAAAAATATCTCATATTCTAGGATAGGAAAACAAAAGTTCTCTTCCTAGAAATGGAATAATCCGACTTTCTAGTGTGGAAAGGTGATGTGAATTCACATACAGGAAAGGATGGGCAGCAGCAAATTTACTGGGAGAGGAACTGGACCCAGCAAGGCACTTACAAGATGTCTGGTGGGTAAAATGGGTTTCAAAGTATACTTCCCAGGCAAAGGAGCACCAAGCAATTTATTGCATCATGCACCATGCAATTAAATCAAATTGGTGCTGCGTTAGAGTATTCATACAAAGAAGATGCGTGCTTTAACACTTGTTGCTCCTCCCTAAGAAGAAAAGAACCCCCCACACAAAAACCCAAAACCTGCATAAACCATAGTTCAACAACAGGAACAAACTTTGCCACCATGGGAGGGGAAACCGTTACAATTAGACAGAACACTTACAACTGTAATAAGTCCCTTTTAATTACAACACATATGTTAATGTAGATACATGTTCTAATTGTAACCATGCTAGAGGGAAGAAAGAAGGGGTGGAATTGGGATGGTGGAGGAAGAAGTGCTGTATGGCACCCTAGGTGCCCTTGGCTAGCTGAGAAAAAGTACACGGAGACTGTAGGATTGGAAACGATGCTACAAAGGCTGTGATGCAAGCATACAGATCAATAGTGTATCCTGACCTTAGGTAGTATATTCAGTACCAGGCATGGCTTTCTGGCCACAGCTGGGTGATGATAACAATTGTTAAAGGAAACAAAACACAGAGCAGAGCCCTTACATAAGACCAGCAAAATGAGAAGACCAAGATAACTGCATTTGGAGAAGAGACAAATAAGGCAAGCAAAAATGCCATAGAAGGCTCATGACACCTAACAGATCAGTTGGCCATTCCCATTTCCCAGAATCAGTGGGCTTAAAAGTAAATAAGACTTGAACAGATAATTTGAGTTATATATATTTTGTATATATATATATATATACACACATATATCAATATATAGATATACACACATATATCAATACATTGCATATAATGTATGCAGAACATGTTATTACTGGATAGATAGCTTTGAGACTGGGAAAACTATCAGATTGTGGCATGGGGGAAGTGCTATATATGAAAATGTAGAAAATGACATTAAAAAGACGGTGGTGGTGTTGGGGGTGCTTGTTACTTTTATCATGTTGACCATGTCATGGCCAAGCAGTTGCTGATAATGATAACGGCAACAACAGCGATAAAATGAGTGTCTTATTTGGTATTTATACCAAAGCTCAGTTAATCAGCTAAATCGTCTAAATCTTCTCTGTGTCTGTCTTGGTTTTTACAAGTGACCCATCATCACCAAGCTGTGGGTCACTGTAAGATTCCTTATTTTCCATGCGGCTTTGCTACAGAAGTCAAATTAATAGAATCCCAGACTGGTTTGGGTTGGAAAGGACCTGAAGATCATCCAGTTCCAACCCCCTGCCATGGGCAGGGACACCTCACACTAGACCATGTCACCCATGGCTCTGTCCAATCTGGCCTTGAGCAGTGCCAGGGAGGGGGCGTTTACCACCCCTGGGCAACCTGTGCCAGGGCCTCAGCACCCTCACAGGGAAGAACTTCCTTATATCTAACCTGAACTCCCCCTGTTTCAGTTTGAACCCATCACCCCTTGTTCTATCGCTACAGTCCCTGATGATGCAGCATCCTTGTAGCCCCCTTCAGACACTGGAAGCTGCTCTGAGGTCTCCACGCAGCTTCTCTTCTCCAGGCTGAACAGCCCCAATGTTCTCAGCCTGTCTTCATATGGGAGGTGCTCCAGCTCTTGGTCATATTCAAAATCATGGTGATTTATTGAATACATCGAAGTCCTGTTTGTAAAGAGAGGCACTCTTCTTTCACCTGTAACAAAGTGCTCTGGCAGTCTAATCTTGGCTTTTTGTTTTGTTTCATTATACATTAATTATATTGATGTTTTAATGTAGTAACTCTGTGTGATTGTGTTTGATGGCAGAGATTATTTATACAGTATGTCAGGAAAAGCCTTGTGTGACATTCAATCTTATCTCCAGTATGATTTTGATATAACAACAGGTTAGATTAACCCCTCCGTGTCTCTATCTGTGAAATGTCCACTCCTTCAAGAAGCCTTAAAACTGCTGACAAGTAGAGTTAGCAGCTTCACTTTTCTCTAAAGTGCTTGCTAAGGTGTATTTGCCCAAGAGTAAGTGCCACACAGCATGACCTGCCTGACTGAAGGTGCTGTGTCCCACCGTTACTTTG